AAATTTTTTTCAATGTGATCATATGAATTGATAGTCCATTGTGGTATTACAATAGTCAAAGCACTCTCAAACCTAGCTTCAAAATCTGAATAAAGGGCTATTAAATGCTGAACATAGATTAAAATGTCCTGACAGATTGAGAAAATTTCCTGACCTCCAATATTATACTGCGTTAGCTTAATTCTGGAAATAAACCCTGAATTGGTCCTTTTTTAATACAATTTCTGCTGTAACCTTATAACTGCAAATGAAAGCCATTGAATTTAGCAAATGAAGCTGTTAAATAGGTAAAATCTGGTAATCTGGTGTAATGAGAGCCACTATCACATACCCCCCGTTTACACCTCATGAACCCCCAAATTATTTTCAATTTCGTGGCCTCTTGCAGATCATCATGCACTCCTGGGGGTCAATGTGGACCACTGTGGGAATCACTGATTAGACGATGACGACTGAGCATATTAATGGTGGGTAAACAAAGAAATTCAAAAAACAATCAATGGGCTAAGCTACAATGTTTCAAAACGTCCTTACACTACAAGCTTCAGCGAGCACAAGTAAGATACCTCTGCACTAAGTCGACCACAGCGCCACTACCTTACTACGTCACAGGTCACTGTGTGGCAGAGGTGACCGTGAAGAGCTCAGCTATCATCTGATACCTTATTTGCATAAGGCTTTAATTATTTTTTCTTTTCTTAAAAAAAAGGCCGTTCCCCCTTTTATTTGTTCTCATCAGTGAATGAGTAGATATTAATAAAATAATAAAGATACTATTTTTTAAAAGAAAATTATGCGATTATTATAATTTAAACTGTGTTACAAAATTTCAAAATTGTAACATGCTTATTAATTTAGCTCTCAAAAAAATATATTCATTATAACGGTACTTTATATAAACAAATTACAAGCACGTCACAAGGTGGATCTACTTTGAATAATTTAGCTTATTCATGTTTACCTGTTTACGAAAACCTTATAATAATAATAATGGGGATTTTTATTTTCTTATATTGATGATTTTATAATTTTTGGTAAAAATAGTGTGTGTCTGAATTTATACTTAATAGACCATAAATTAAATGCTAATATTTTTGATAAAAGGAATGCTTTTGATTTTAAAATTATTAAATTCTCTTCCATAAAGAGCAATATTATTGTACATTTTAAAACGGATATTATTCCTAGCTAGTTATAGCATAATTCTTTGTTTAGTTAATTAGGATAGTGATAAAATAATAATATTAAAAAGTTTACAAGATGCTGTTTTGGACATGATTGTTTTATTAAATTTCTTAATACATGCAATTGTGTAATAAGTTTGGGGCTATAAATTTGTTAAGTATTGCCTTATTTACATTTTAATATCTATTAGCTATTTGATTTAATCACAGATGGTAGTATCAGCTAATATGTGTAATAATAGTATCGTAAATAATTGATGTATACAAAGTCGTGTGTAATTAATTTCGTTTCACTTATTAGTTTAAATAAGATCTGATATCTTACGTCATATGAAAATTATTTTAATTTTTCAATTATCGTATTTTTTATTAGTCAGAATACGGTGTGAATAAAAAAAAACTTGGAATAAAAAATAGTGTTTTTTCCCCCTAGAATGAAAGTTTATTTAAAAAAAATCAGTATAACTGTCAGTCTTAAAAAATTACACTGCTCGAACATTACCATTTCATTTACGCAAAAAAATGTAAACCTAGATTTTTATTTATAATTTCACATAAGCAAACTCTTATTTTAACTTTTCAAAATTGATGGAAATGTAGAAATTAGATTAAAATTCGATTATTTTAATTGATATTACCAAGAATATCATTAGAATAGTAATATTCAAGATAGTAAAGATTATTCTTTATCTAGATATTGTTCTATAAAGTTTGAAATATTATTGATTGATATATTACGCTATGAATATTTTTCAGATAGTAATATATTTTTTAGTTTTTTGTGGTCTTTAATTACATTGTTTTGTTTTGGAAAATATATTTGTAGCGAAAATAAGAACGCTAGAGGATCTTTTTACATTGTTCATTTTGAGGAAAGTATTTATTTGGTTATTTCTCCTCATATTTGATATTTTATTAATTTAAAGATGAATGCACAGAGAGCAATGAAAAATTATTAGGAATGCATGCATTTGCAAATTTCCTATTTTAAATATTAATACATTGCAAAGTTTTTTTTGAAAATTGTGTAACTCCCATTTTACACGAGAATTTCATAATTTAAAATATGGTACAATTTTAACATTAATACAGACAAAAAATGAGCCTTCATTAGTTCTTTTAAGAAAGTTTTATTAAAGACGAAAATATATTAAGGAGATGGGTAATAAAAAAATTAAATTTTGATAAGTGGCATAGTTAATAATTAAATATTTTATTTTCCTGTTAAAATAGTATTAATTGAATATTTTATATTAAAACAAAAGCTATACCCCAGACTATTAGTCATATAAATTTTTTATTTGACATTTAGTACTGTTTGACGAGTTTCGGGTTCGCAATAAATTTCACTAATTTTCAATTAATAAAAAGTATCGCTTTGTTTGGAATACAGCTTTTTTCTAAAATAGAAGGTGCAAAAAGTGTTTAGAAATAACTTATGAAAATATACATTTAAGAAAATTAAATTTGATCATATGTTCAACTTGCATCAATCTTTTCGATGTTTTATTATATTATCTGACAGAAAAATTATAAATTTAAAATCTGTAATTTTAAACATAATTATCTTCATTAAAATAATTATGTTAATTCCCTAACATATCCCATATGCTTTTCGTGTAAGATATGTGTTATTCATGCACAGTTTATGTATGATTTGGAAATCCATTTAGTCTGTTAACATACTTTCAGACACACAAATAAGTACATAATATTATACATACAGAATTTCTTAAAACTGATTACACTTTGATCTTGATAAAGACATTGGAGCACGATTTAAGGATTTAATCTAACTTCAAAATTTGTCTGAAATGCTTTATCGATAATTCCATTCCCTTAATGCCTTAATTAAGAGAGTATTAACTAACAAAGCTAGCTTGATGTGTCCGAGCACTATCGTGCTTTAGAATGTATCCGTCAACCATAATACCAGGTTAGAGCTTCTGTTATTGAAAGAGGATTATGCATCTATATATCTTTATCCATTTAAAATCAATCCATTAAACATATACAAATCAGTAAATACTCCCAAAGGTATTAAAGTCTGCAAAGTACTCTTTTTTCACTATTCCAATAATATTAAATATATAATAACTGAATCCTTGTTCTCTCCAAGTTACAAAATAAGAGCAATAATCTTTTTTTCAATTTATACTATTATAATTCACAATTTCCCTATATATATATATATATATATATATATATACCTTGTTCAAATTTTCAATCGTTAATAAAATACTTTTTAAATCGCCCAATTGAGCTGAAATTTTATACACACGATTATTTTCGATGACAATACTATAATTTAATTATAATTAACAAAAAATAATTGATTAAAAGTTATTCAAAGAATAACGGATACAGCCCCTTTGGCGTCGTTTTTGGAGACTTAGCGACCCTTTTGGCAACTTGTGTCAAAACTTTAAAATATTTTGTTCTCACATTTTAAAGGGCTCATGTGAGCTGAAATTTTTTATACACGATTGTTTGGGGTGACAATACGATAATTTAATTATAATAACTAAAATAAAATTTTCTTTGTTGATCTAAGTAGGAATTGACTTAATTTATTTTATATTACTTGTTAGGATATAAAATTCATCTAAGTAGTATGCATTATTTCTTTAAATTTAGTTTTAAAAAGCTGATAATAGCTCTTTTCCTTAAAAAAGACTTCGTGCCAGGACAGTCGAAATTCGTTTACTTGATCCTGCCAATTAGTCCACCATAAACTGAGACAAAAAAAACCTTTTCAATTTTTTTACACATGAAGCTTAGAAAAATGATACGTGAAAGATGTTGTGACAGTTAGCCTCTCTAAATATACCTTCTTGGAACAAAGTTTTCATACTAAAACTAATTGGAAAATTATTAGACATACCTATGTCGAAATCTGAGTATTTTAAGCAATGTCGTGATCTGAGTTTGATATAGTTTTCTTGAATTCCTTCGATCTCCATTTCAACGAACAGATAAACATATATTCAAAACACCAAAACTAATATCTGCTTAAAAGTAGAAGAATACTTTCTTTTGTTGGGAATATAATGAATTTTTATAATAGTGTGTGTGTGAGAGAGAGAAAGGATCTTTATTTTCATATTAAACACATTTGCTTAAAATAAAAGTTACAAATACATATTTTCCAATTTGCATGAAAACTATAGTGCATTATATCTTCAGATAACTTAATTTTACTACTATAGGAAATGAGAAGAATTTGAAAACAATATGTACCTTAACTTTAGGATGGCTGAGTATATTCTAAAGAAAATATTTTACTTTGTTCACAACTAATTTGAAAAAATTATTAGTGACTACCATAAGAAAACACCAGCATAGATACCAACAACTATTTTAGTAAGTCGAAATAATAATAATAATATAGTTACAATACTCTCTTTATTTTATTAGTTTGATCAAGCTGATTAGATTCAGGAGATGGGTTCAGGAAACTTTTGTGTTTCACTGACTACCGACGAGAAGTAGATTAAGCACAGACAAGCAATATATATATATATAAAGTTAAAGTCAATTCCTATTTAGGCCAACAAAGAAAAATTATATTTTAGTTACTTTTTATTAATTAATATATACAATTAATATAAATATGTATATACATATGACAGAATCATAATATTAAGTGGCAAAATAGAAAGCGATTTTTCTTGCAATTTACCATTTTCCTTTCTATATATGGCGTTGAACTGTTCTTTTAAAATTATTTTTTGTTTGTTACTATTTACTTATTAATTAAATTTAACTATTCCAATAAAATAGCATAGTAAAAAATCACATTCTAAGAAATTAGGTCATCTCAAGTGAAAATCGAACCCACGACTTTTGTATTAGAAGTTCAACGCGCTGTGCATTGCGCTACAGGGACACAACGAACGATTTTCTTTCTGTATTTGCTGTTGGACTATTACTTTTGTTTGCTGCTATTTATTCATTTATTAAATTTAATTAATGAGTTAATATTCGAAAAAACTGTATTAACATCAAGTGCCATCCACTACAAGTTTAAAAGATATGTTTGAACTTGTAAAATTGAATAAAGAGTATTTTATTTAAGATTGAAAATATGAACAAGATATATATAGGTACTCATTGCCATGAAAATTTGCGCTCCAAGAAAAAGTCTTCAAAATGAATCGAAATTTTGCACATGTAAGTCCTACTTTGAAAAGTAAGTGATTAGAAAATCAACGAAAAAGGATCATTCATTCCAGAAAAAAGTACAAATGAACGGAAGTTTTAGTACTCTGTTGGACCTCCTCTAAAGATACGAGTGGGTATCGAGACATACAAGTTCTTTTTGATGTTCTGAGACATTTCGTTCCACAGTTGATGTTAACGCACCTCTAGTTCGACCAAATTCGTAGGCTGTCCAACTTGCCATCGTGGCCGTGGTAGCCGCGTGGTACATGTATCAGATCGATCGTGGCTTGTCTTGTCACTAGTTCGAGTCCAGTACCACTAAAGAACCGTCGTGTAGGGCAGCGATGCACGTTAAATCTGTCGAGAGCTGAAACGTCATCCCGTTGGTGTGGTGTGGTAGTTAGGAGAGGGGGGTGGGGTTGCCATCTCAAGTGTCATACACGTCACTTGACCATGGTTCAAAATTACGTGGTCCGTCGCCAAAAGCCCTCGTGTAGCTGAACAGTGCGACGTTAATGTTCAATCAATTAATCAACCAACTTGAAGTCTCAAAGGATTCGATTGGAGACAAATATTGAGATCAAGCAGGCCAGGTAAGGGTGGTAATGGGGTAAAGGTAGTCTTGTGACATCCTTGCTGTGTGTTGCTGAATATTATCTTGTTGAAAAATGGCTCTTGGGAGCCCTGCCGTGAGTGACAGCACATGTGGCTGAAGGATGTCATGGACGTACCTCTGGGCTGTCATTGGGCCAAGGGTCAATATTAGGGGTTACAGTGTATCGTAAGCAGTGGCACCCCATACCATCACATCAACTGTGGGAGCAGTGTGTAGCTGTAAAATGAAGGTAGGATTGAGCCATTCATCCCGGGGCCTCAACATACGAACACGATTGTCAACACTGCTCAAACTGAATCTTAATTTGGCGTTGAAAACGACCTGGTTTCATTCTGTTGCAGTCCAATCCTGTCGTGCACGACGCGACTCCAAATGGAGGCGTCGGTGGGTGGGTGTCATTATGTGGGTGTGATACACGTAATAGGCGTCGCGATAGCAAATGTCCTTCAGCTTGGCTCCTTGCGATGATTCGGGAAGACACAGGGGCCCGCAGTTAAAGTGCTACCTGTGTCTGGACAGCGATCAACGAGGCAGTTGGTATTTCGTGGGCGTGTTGTATGATGTGACGGTCTTCTCGACAACTGGTCTGTCGAGGACGTCCTGAATCTGGTCGCCATGCAAATGACGTCTCTTCTGTCCACTGGTCCCAACATCCCCCGATAGTCAAATCAGAACGGCATACTTGACTAGCTACTCGCCGAGCTGACCACTCAGCTTTTATCATCCCAATGATTCTTCCCCTCTTGAACTCTGACAATTGCTCATATTGTCTTCGATGGTGACGTAATGGCATGTCTACCTCAGAGTTACCTTTTCAAAAGATTAAGTACACTCAAACAAAACAGACGGATGATTTGACGGATGATTTTGTAACCAGGAATCTAGAATGCGTCAGCATTCTTCTATCCTCTATCTGGGACTCTGATTTTCTTGGTTTTGGAAACTTGGGCTTGAAGAGAGGGGCGTGACTTCGGAGGAGGAGGTCCAATGGCAGTGCAGGAGACGTTGGCTATGGAGCGGTCGTTGATTGGAGGATGGCAGTGAGCTTTTAAGATTGAAATCATGTACTTTGAAATAGAAAGTGACTTTAAATTTAAAAAAAGAGAAATTCGATTATTTTGAGAGAGTTTTAAAAAGTTAATAAAAGTTACAATTAAGAATAATAGGGAAATTTAAATATTGTTCATTATAGCTTCTGCCAGAAGGCAGGTTTTTTCTTCGTCGGAATTTGCTGTTTTAAATTTAGAGAGAAGGTCGAGAATTTTGGGGTTTTTCTTTACGAGGTTTGAGATAGTATTAAAAAGTTCCAAAACTTGGGAAAAATCTGAACTGTTATTATCTTGGGTAAGGAATCCGCTGGAAGAGTCTTCCTTTTTATTTGCAGTTAGGTTTTCGGTTTCGGAGGGGATCTGATTGGGGATTTCTCCGCTAACAACGTTAGCGAAGGAAATTCCCTCTTTTGTCCATTTGCTTGAAAATTTTTTTCTTTTAATCGGGTCGGAAAAGGCAGTGCCTTTTTTGGGTTGGGGGAATTTGGGACATTTAGTGTAACATGCCGAGTGACCAAAGTCCTGGCAGTTGATACAAAATGGGTTTTCTTGTCGTTCTTTGATGTGACAATTTCGTGTGGCATGGTCTTTACCGCATTTAAGGCATCTTGGTTTCATAAAGCAATTCGCGGCAGTATGGTAGAAGTTGTTGCAGTTGAAGCATTGGGTTATTCCTCTAACGAGGTAACCTTCTACTTTCACCTGCAAATAACCCAACTTTTTGATGTCAAAAATTTTACTATTTAAATCGTTTCTTGGTAAAGTAATTAGGAAATATGGGAGGGATTTTTTATTCTTTTGGAGATTAGTTGCGTGCAGCTATCTATATTGAATCCGATTAAGTTTAAGTCATTAGTGATATCAGTAATTAAAGCAGAATTAGGGAGGCCTTTAATAACGGCTTTAATTGGTTTATCTTTTTGGCGTTTGAGAATGTAAAATTCGAAATCTTTATCCGTTTCTAAAAAGTGTTTAAGTTTTCTGTATTCTTCATGGTCGGTGGAGAAAATTTTTACTACGTCATTAACAATTCTATTACGTAAATTAGGGAATTTTTCTGAAATGCATTTTATTTGCTCTCTGAAATTCTTTTTGATTTTAAGCATTATAGGGTGAGGGGGGGGGAATCTTGGGTGTAACTACTTCGGTAGTTACTGTTCCAATCGAAGGAGGATGCTCGACATCCTGTTCAAGATCGGAGAAACTATTGTTAGTTTCTATGGGGTCCTGGGTAGAGGCAGGAGAGATCGGTCTGGCCGTCTTCTTGGGAAAGATAAACTCTTCCGTAGAATCCTTACCTTTCTGTTTACGTTTTTTGCTAAATTTTTTCTTAGATTTGTTATTGGTTTTAATTTTATTTTCAATCTTATTTTCATTAACAGGAGGGGAGGGAACAAAATTATTTTCCTCTTCTACCGAGGTAGAGGGAATCTTATGGTCCTGGCAGTCAGAGATAGTACATGGTGGGAGGGTTTTAAGCTCACTTACCATCTCCTCCTTTTTCCTGATCATGGCCTGTTTGCCGGAAATGTACGTGTCCATGAATGAATTTCCGGGGCTGGGAGAACGTCCGTCCATCCCGTGAATTGATAAGTGAAGAGCTGAGATACCTGGAATCTCAAACAAAACAAGCTCTACTTACCAGTTTTATATTCCAAGGAGAACGAAGTTTAACGCCGTCTAGTGGCATCACGCAAAGGGCAATCACGCTGCATTTCTAATCATTCGCATATCTGCCCAACTTATATCTTAATGCCAAGTTTCGTTACGACCCCACAATTATTTCTTGGTGCTCAAATTTTTATGGCAATGAGTGTTTATAAATAAATATGTATAGGAATAGTGTGAACTAATAGTAAAAAATGAAAAATTAGGATGTGGACAGTTAATTTTTATCTATGAAACGTTTATTAATCTAATATAGTTACAACCGTTTATAAAACTATTAATTATCATTTGAAGTAAAAAGGTAGTATTTCATATTAGAATTATATTGATCGTGATAAAAATAAAGTATGAATTCACTTATTTAGTAACTTTTGTTTTTATGAAAGTAAATTAAATATGTTTGAATACAATACAAACATATTTTATCACAAGTTTTCTGTAAACAATATAATTATATACTTTCGAATGGATTTATGGAGTCATATCTTGCTTCATGGTACACGGAAATACTGTCTTAGACAGCATCTAATCGATACAAATTTGCTAATTGTCTCCTTTTATTTCTTTTTTTTCTATTCCTACTATATTTTTTTCATTCACATACTCTCTCTCTATATATATCTTGTTCATATTTTCAATCGTTAACAAAATTCTTTTTATTCACCCACTGAAGCTGAAATATATTTTTTTAAACTTGTTGGGGATGACACTTGATGTTAACACAGTTTTTTCAATTATAAATTCATTAAATAACTTTAATCAATGTATAAATAGTAACAAACAAGAATAATATTCTAACACAATAAATAAAAATGAAAATCGCTTGTTGTGCCCCTGTAGCGCAACGGATAGTGTGTGTGTGTGCTTTGGACTTCTGATACTAAGGTCGTGGGTTCGAATCCCACCTGGGATGGCTTAATTTCTGGGAATGTGCTTTCTTTTTACTATGATATTTCATTCGATTAATTAAATTTACTTAACGAATAAATACAGCAACAAACAAAAATAATATTCCAACACCATATATAGAAAGGAAAAGGGAAATTCGCTTTCTTTTTCGCCACTTAATGTTGTGATTCTGTCATATGTATATATACATATTTAGATTAATTATAATTATTTAATAAAAAGTAACTACAATAAATTTTTCATTTGTTGACCTAAGTAGGAATTGACTAAATTTTTTTTTTATATATTGTTTTTTTAAGACACATTTCTCCACGTTTTTCAATGCATCACACGAGGTTTACAAAAATAAATATGAAACAAATTTCAAAAGAGATAAATAAAAGAGGAAGATTTAATAGTTATGAATAATTAAAACTATATATTTAAAATGAAATTAAGAAAATATTCAGAAGCATTTCTCTCGGAGCTAATTAATGTTAATGC